CCTCTTTATCGCTACTTCATGCTTCATAAGAAACTAAATGGGACGAGAACGATATAACCATATTAAAACGTCAACTGGCAAAGCTTCAAAGCTTCAAAGCTTTTCTTCAACGAATCCGTTATTTTTTTGTTCGCATTTTAATGAAAATAATAAAGCATAAATACATTATTGCACAACTGCTTTAAAACTAGATCAAGTGTCATACGATCATCTGAACATACAGTGCAAAGAGAAAACTAGAAAGTTTGTTAGAGTAATTTGTGTCATATGTCATTTATTTCGTATAATATCCACTTGAGAACATACAGCATCAGTAAAATAATACACAAATAATTATACGTAACATGTTAATTTAAAGCGAAGGGAAATGAAAAATTATCTTTAAAATATACATAATGATGAAGAGAAAATTCGATTAAATGACGCGTAGTACGTAATTAGGTTTCATGATTATATTGATAAAAGGAGAAAAATTTTTATTAATCAGATTAAGATAGTTTTGTATAGTAGTCCAGTTTTTATGCTCCCTCCTGCATTTTTACTGCATGTATTCTTCCACCGGCAAACGAACTGAAAAGTAGACTAATTATTGTTAACAAATGCCCTGTTGCATATAAATTAGCCGAATAATCATTATACATCATTGTTCTTGAGCCTTCAGCTAATGCAGCAAGCATGAATAATGTGGCAAGAAATAACAATGCTGCTGGAAGGAAATTAAGATGTTTTACATTAGCTTTAAAGACATCACGAGCCATTAACAGTGTTGCTATTGTTCCAAATGCGAGAAATAGAATACCGACAATAGCTAAACCAGCTGCGTTTTGTTGACGTTGATAATAATCATTTGAATTAGGACTGTACGGTGGTTGCCTATGGGTCGCTCTATTATAACAGACGCTTGGAAAGCCAGCTACATAGGAACAAGCGTAATAAAAATTAATTGTCGTGGATATATTTCGATTCGATGGGGAGTCAGAATAGGTTGTCTGCCAATTTGGCGTCCCGATGCCAATACATGCTAATATTAAAGCAACAGCACCGAATACAGTAGCGGTATATGCTATGGTATTACTTATGTCGAGAGCAGGAGGTGCCATATTTTCAAAGAAATAATTACTCTAAAACAAATCAAAAAAAATGAAGAGAAGTGCAAGATGTCTACAGTAGACCTGCAAAAATTCACGTTTCGTTCCCTGAACATGAAAGCTAAACATGTTCGCGTTCCTTAGAAGCACTGGTAAACGTGAGCTATTTTTTTACGAACGGTGTTTATATCGTCTCAAATAAATATAAACTTCTGTTCTTATACTGTAGTACAACCATGGTTTTACCAGCTAGGTATTCGACCACGCTGATTCCGAATATGAACGTGAGAGCCGCCATTAAGCCTTTCAAGATCTGATTTTCTGGAAAACGAGTTTTTCAGAAACTCTAAAAAAACCTTTGTTAATGAGCCGTGATTGTAGACTGCAATTTTCTGATTAATATGATATGTCCGATTTCTACATGACCTTTCTTTGCAAAGTTATAGAATTTACAAGAAAGGCCCTAAATTAATTTCCTCTTATTTCTGTAGTTTTGAGCTGACAATGAACATTTAGCGCCTTTCTTGT